GGTGTAAATATTTATCTATCTTGAGAATTTGATAGTCTTTTTGTACATTTCATCTTCGTCAGTTTGATGATAAGCATACATGAACCACTTCCAAGCCAAGAAAAACCTTTTACGGCGAACATGGCCACCAGAAAGAATTGATCACGTGACTTAGTTTTGTCCCGTGACCATAGTGCACGTGAGAACAACACGCACGCGAGCCTGTTGAAAAGTGTACAGAGAAATAATTAATCTATCTGTGCAAAAAAAAAAAATTCATCAAAAGGTTTTAAAAAAATTCAATTTGAAAGTTTAACTGAAAGTTTAACTGGGCGACCGCTTCAATAAAATGGGCGTATTTGGCATGAGAATCCCTTTAGTGTTGTCCCGCTCCTAACTTCGAAGTATGGAAACTGGTTAGCGGCTCAAAGGTTGCTGGGAGAATTAAAATGGCGGTGCTTTAGAGCCAGTTATCAGCTTGGAGAATTTCGTCGTGACTCGTTAGTTTCTGGACAGTTGTGAGGTAATGAATGCTTTTAAACCTGTAATACTGCCACCGGGCTAAAAATAAAACTTGAATGCTTGGAAGGTCCTGCTGATCCGATGAACAGTGGAGGAAGACCTTAGCGCTGTGGTTCTCAGTATGGTATTGGAGTGTTTTGTTTAGCTGAGGCAGGAGAACAACAAATGGGTTGGGTCCCTGAAAAAGACCGAGCAATTTTGGATGCTGTTGGAAAGGCATGCGAGTTGTCAAACTTTCATGCCAAAATTGACAGTGCAAGTGGCAAAAAAATGGGCGACAAGTTTACCAAGATAACAATTTTTTGTAATTTGTGAGGCTTTGTGAAATAATTAAATAATCAAGTTATTTTTAATTAATTATGTGGAAAATTTATTGATAGTTTTATGTAAATCAGGTCTCTTTTCTTAAATCAAAAATGTGTCTTTATGTGTATATTTTTGATAGGTTTGTTTTATGTTGGGTAGATAACCCATGATGTTTTCCTGGCTATTTGTTCACTAGCTTTGACGGTATAATTTAACAATAACTGTTGTGGTAATTCTGTCCAATTATTCTTAGCTATATTGGTTTGAAATCTGGATATTTTAGACTATGGTGACTTAGGAGCATAAAAAAGTAAGCAAATTGACTATGGTGTTTATTGCAAGGGATTCTGTAAATATTTTCAAGGTTTATGGAGAGACTGTTGCTAACTTTGATTATATCTCTTCAGTCAAATAAAATCACTTTAAGTCGCCTTAAGTTGCCTGAAGCCACCTTAAGTTGCCTCAAGTCGCCTTATGTCGCCTCAAGTCGCCTTAAGTTGCCTTAAATCGCCTAAAGTCACAATGTTTTTTCTGCCAATTTCGTATGTCGCCTTAAGTCGACTTAAATCACCCAAAGTCGCCCAAAGTTACGGCGACTTATGGCCCCAGAGTAGGCCTAAGGGTTTGCTGTTTTAGAAAAATCACTGTCAAGTGCTATTCACGGTTTGTTAACACGGAGAGCTAGAGAGATTAAGACTTTGGAACAAGTTGATGCCATCTATGACAATTTGGAAATACAAAAATCGCTAGAGGAACACGGTGGGCACACAGGCGCTCAAAAGATGCAGCGGTTTTCGTAGCAAAAAAAATGGCGTGGATTTTCTTTTCCCGTGGGGGTCCACGTGAGGGCCCCTTTTGGTTTTAAAATGTATGCTAATTTATGTAAATTACCACAGCTCCTAGCATCCGAAGAGTAAAGATTTTCCCACATGGAAGTAGTCGAGATGCTCACCTTTCAAATGATACCAAACTTGTCGTGGTTTATTCGCAAGTTCGTTCGAAACAGATGTTTTCGTGAATGACTCCATCTTTGTCAAGTGGAAAATCAGTGTTTTGAGTTGTCTTTTGCTTCAAAAGGCTGTCTACCAAANAAAAGTTAAATATTTATTTTTACCAGAGACAGCGAAAAACTAAATACCTAGTTTTTACACTGGCAAGTTAAGATTATTGGTTGTATTCTTTGGATGTGAATGGCCAGGGGTGAATATGATTGCTTTAAAACCAAGTTTGTTGACTTAGAACAGAATGAATGATTGCTGTACATAGTGTGTTTTTTTTTACATCATTTCTTTGAACTTTGAGAATTTATAGTCACTGATAACTTTGAGAATTTATAGTCACTGATTTGCTTTTTGATAAATTGAAATATGCGAGGTAGCTAAAGTAACAGAGAAGGTCAAGATGAGTCAGTTAGATTGCCAGCGTAGCTAGGTATCAGTTAGTTCATCAGCAGTCAGAAGCATCAGACAAGCAACTTGTGATCAAGAAGGGAATATCAAGATAATGGAGAGAACCCTTGCAAAGAGGCATGCAGAAACATTTGAGGTTTTACTCAAAATTCATGGGGGGAAAACCAAGGATAGCAAACCGGCTGCTGCTGGTTTAGTCAATGTTCTAGCAACTAAGTTTTCAAGAAAAACATTATCAAGTTTAATTACAAGGAAATGAAAGTTATGCACCCAGGTTTTTCCAGATATTTACAACAAGCAGATAGATGCTTTCGAAGGCTCACAAGAAAACATGTTAGGCAGTATTGCTACTTATTTTTCAAAAGGTGTAATGGGGAAGAGAAAGTACAGAGCTACATACAAAGCTCTCTCATTGAGAAAAAGTCACCTGAAGGGTTCTAAGCTAGAGTGGATTAAAGTTATGGGCTGTAAGGTCCCTCGCCTTTTGCCATACAATAAGTTGATTGATCAAGTTAATTCTATTGACATTGGCAAAACAGTAGATGTCAGAGAACAATTCTGTAAAGATCTTGAAGATTGTGAAAAAGTAAGCGGTTGTTTCCGGCCCCTCTTGCAGTTTCTCCCACTGCTGGCTTCATTTTACTTAGAATTAGAAAAGGAAACAGGTGAAGAATTACTTTGGTTTGGTGAAGTAAACACTTTCCAGGTAGTCTTAGAGGGATGGGGCCCCTTTCGGGAAAGAGGACATGGCATGTGCATGGTTAGTGAGCTTCCTGAATAGGGGCAAACGTGTTTTAAGTAGCAACGAAAACTTTATGATATTTGGAGCGAATTGCTCTGAGGACTCAGTTGTGGTCCAAGGTTATGTGTCTTATCTTTTGAAGGAAATGTTAGTTATGGAGAAAAAGAACTACAGTATTAATGGTAGGGAAATTAGGTTCAAGTTTTCTGAATTCCCAAATGACTTAAAGATGTTAGCTTTTTTGGCTGGGGAGCTTCCTGTGTCTGCTAAATTTTTTTTGACTTTTGGCAATGTAAACACTGGGGACTATGATGATCCAAAGGGGACATTTGGAAAGGGGAATCAACACAAGTGGCAACCATGGCGCTATAGCAGTAGGTTAAAAGTTTCAAAAGAGGTTAAGAAAGTCAAAGAGAAAGTTGGGAGGCAGAACATTTCTGCTAAAACCAAAAGGAAGAAAGTAACAGATTTCA